ATGTACTGGTATTATATTTTTGTGTTGACGAAGGAAAATGTGGCTGAGAGTAAGTAGAATGTAATATGTCTAAAATGCTCCATATTTTTCATTAAACTCAAACAATTATTCACGATGTACACACCCATGTAGACTTAGCATGTGATTAATGTTGACATATTCGCATACTAATGTAACATTTTATACTCCGCGGCGGCGTTCCAATACTCGCCGATCATGTTTAACCGAAGTTTTGGACCTTTAACAGCATAAGCGTATGTTAACTTGCGTGTTTGTTGGACATGCGCGTATTCTGGGCTATTAAATAACAAATTCTGATTGGTCGATTATTAAGTTTGGTTGACACTCTGGAAACATCCTATGCGAAATATCCTCTAAATGTATATTCTATCTAATCATTCTTTCTTGTTAGTTTTTTAATTGGTAATTTATTTATTTCAAATGCCTTTAATAAATGTACGATATTACTATATTCATTTGATAACAGTATTTGTTTTTTCGTTTACCTTATTCTCAATATTTGTATATTATGGACCACTTTGAAATACAGTGTTTATGTATGATAATTCAATGAAGAATAATAAGAATTATAAGATAGATAAAATATAACAATATACCAACACTTTAAATTTGAATGTTACACATTTAAAGTGTTGGTATATTGCTATATACCAACACTTTAAATGTGAATGTTACACATTTTATATATTAGTAAATAATCAAACAAAACCTTCACAAAACAGTACAATGCCAGGAGCCTCTGGGTATGGAATCGGGCACTATACCAGACGAAGACATCGAAGCCTCTAGCGTAGAAAACCAGTACACAAGACCACCTCGTGCCAGGCTTAATACGCTTAATACGGTAATCGGACAAAGTGGATGGAGAGCGGCGGTATACGATCTAGAACAGTGGATTCAAGTCTATCTTGGTGGGGTAAAGATCGTCTCTGGTATAATCACACAAGGTAACTATGTTATCAATTGTTTAAATGAGAATTAGTGTAAAATCCATAAACCATAATTTACTACTATTTGATACAGTGATCGAGTGTTAACCATACACATTTTTGGGTCATATCTAATGGCATTAAATGGAATTCACACAAAGTTTTTATTTTTTAAATGTAAACTATACCCTTATTATTATTTGTTTTAAACTACTTGGTTGGGTGTGGGATGATTGAGCTGATACAAATTTTACTTGTATTACTCACCCTATCATTGAGTACTCTGTTCCTGTGTGGGTACATGTTACACTGGAGTTCAAAGCTTTCGAGCATATTGTAACTAAGCGTAGAGCACTCCTCATTATACTTCACAGGGGTAGTTACAAGCAGGCGTTAGCACTCACTGGTCTTTCTCAACTTACTAAGCGGCGAACCCGATTAGGCCTAAGCCCAGAGTATTTTTAAAAACACCCAACCGATAGACGTTCTCTAAATAGTGCGATTGTTTTTTGGTTTTTTTTTTTTTGGTTTTTTTTTTAAATCTTTTTTATTTTTATATCAGTGTTTTCATTTTATTTTATTATAGTATGCTTTTATGTTGTGTTACAATTTTAATATTTTTTTAAAATGTATGAAATTTCACGTCAAATCATGATCTATTTAAAAAACATCCAACGGATAGGCGTCCGCTAATAGTGCGCTTATTTTTTTAATTATTATTATTATTATTATTATTATTATTATTATTATTATTATTATTATTATTGTTATTATTATTATTATTATTATTATTATTATTATTATTATTATTATTTTTTCTTTTAATTTTAATACGGTATGCTTTTATCTTGTTTTATGATTTTAATATTTTTTAAAAATGTATGAAATTCAACGTCAAATCATGACCTATTTTAAAAACAACATCCACTGATAGGCTTCCGCTAAGCACTAAGAGGGCGCTTGCTTTAGTTTTTTTTTATTAATATCTTTTTATTTTTAACTCAGTGTTTTCCTTTAATTTTATTATGATATGCTTTTATGTTGTTTTTGTAATTTTAATATTTTTAAAAAGATGTATGAAATTCAACGTCAAATCATGACCTATTTAAAAAAAAAAACATCCAACCGATAGGCGTACTGCTAATAGTGCGCTTGCTTTAGTTTTTTTTATTATCTTTTTTTATTTTTAACTCAGTGTTTTCCTTTAATTTTATTATGATATGCTTTTATGTTATTTTTATGATTTTAATATTTTTAAAAAGATGTATGAAATGCAACGTCAATCATGACCTATTTCAAAAACAACATCTAACCGATAGGCGTCCGCTAATAGTGCGCTTGTTTTAGTTTTTTTTTATTATCTTTTTATTTTTAACTCACTGTTTTCCTTTAATTTTATTATGATATGCTTTTATGTTGTTTTTATGGTTTTTATATTTAAAAAAAAAGATGTATGAAATTCAACGTCAAATCATGACCTATTTCAAAAACATCAAGCGGATAGACGTCCGCTAAGTGCGCTTTTTTTTCTGTTTTTTTTTTTCTGTATTTGTTTTATATTTTGTCGGTTTTTATTTTTTAACTGATTGATTGATTGATTAATTGAAGGTAGAGACCAAACGAACATGTACGTAAGTCGCTATGAAATTCTACTAAGTATGGATGGTGTAGTTTGGCAGTATATAACAGACACTGACGGCAATAACAAGGTTAGACCAAACAACAAGTTGTTAAAAATTAAATCTAGTACATAGGCTGGCAACAATTGTATGTATGACCTGGTAAAATGTAAATACAGTTTATATTTTAATATTTTTTACTTTGTCTCTGTTATTTCGTTCGCAGCCAAGGCTGAACTACATGAAATTTACATATGGTACATCAAAAATATTAAAATTATCTTATAAAAATGTTAATATACCAAGAATCGATCATTTAGATGTTAAGTAGAAATGAAAAGGTAATTGAGTAAAATATATTAAAGCTTAAACATTTTTTTAAGGCAAATGGGAAAAACCCATAAAACAGCAAACGGCCACATAACGCAAAACTATTTAAAATTAAAACGGAACAGTAGAGAAAATCCGATCAGAATGACAAAATAAACTAAGCATCCACTGGAAGGAATCCCAATATCTGCAGACGGATCCTTTTCGGCCTTCCATGCCTTTAACCACTAATGATTACAGAACCAAACCAAGGCAATATATATATATACACAACCAAGGTGGTCGTGGGACTAGTTTGTGCCCTACATAAGCTGGTCGAACGTTTCGTTTGGGTCAATACCCTAGCTGCACTGATGAGGCCTGGAAGGCCATATATATATAGTCTGTAGTGCAAAATAAAATGTTGAGTGTGTAACCTAGTGTCTTTGATTATCTGAATTATAGAATAATCGAAATACTACCTCCATAGATTTTTATTGGCAATACAGACGGGTCCACAGCAGTTACTAACGTATTTTCAACAACGTTCCAAACCAGTTATGTCCGGATCCATCCAGTTGAGTGGCGTAAACATATAATCATTAGATTTGAAGTACTAGGTTGTGAAGGTAAATACTTCCTGTTAATGATGACTATTGCTTAGTCTTGTAAATGCATGCAATGATGACTGGTTGTTAAAATTGTTGTATAGGTGTATATAAAAGAATTAATCCAAAGTGGTGACATAAAAATCTCTATTACAAGATCGCCTTAACCTTTATAAAGATTTGGTAGATGCTTTACAAATCTAAAACAGTTACCCAAATGGTCGAGTTTAGTTGCAATTTTAAAATTAATTATTTTTTGTTTTAGATCAAGCAAATGAAATGTCAACATTATCAACCACTCTTGTAACCAGTAAGTATTATTTTACATAAGCTTTTGAATTAGTATTGTACCTTACGAATTCAAATTTATGTAACCGTCATCAGTACCCTGGCAATCTACTATAGGCCTGGTGTACAAATTTAAGGTAACTGAAATATCCTATTTACAGGACTAAGCAGAAAAATCTCAGCAATTGATAACACGAGTAAATTTTAAAACTTGGAAACACTTAAAACTATTTTTAAAACCTGACATACCTGTGTATTTTTAGCATTAGTGGAACCGAGTACCTTAGAAGACAACGCTCGAACTACAACTATCAGTAAGTATGAATTCAGTACAAATTCATAAAGACTGCCTATTTTTTTTATTTATTTTTTTTTTTTGAATCGCAATGAACTAAAAATGCACTGACCTACGCAGGGTCAGCTCATATAGCGCTTAGTGGTTGTGAGTTTCCATTTCACCCTCGCTATTACCATTGCAGCTATAGTACGAGTCTAACTAACATCGAGTTAGTTTTCCTGTTTTTTTATTGATTTTTTCTTTTACAAATAGCCGTCTATTTTTTGCACAGAGTTCTCTAACCGGCACTTTGGTCACTTACCGTACTTGAATCTTCTTCAAACATTGTCAAGGCAAAGGCCATTTCTTTTCGATGTGCATATAAAATTATGACATCATTTTACATATTTTGAATATTAATACCAGTCATAGTTTGAGTTTCCCTGACGTCGAGTTGCTTTCCATATGTTTTAACTTCATATTCTTCATAATTTCTGTATGATTTTATTTTGTTTTCGTGTGTTATTTTACGTTAGACTTTTTAAATTTTTTTTTAAATTTTAACATCATTTTTTATTATAGTAATGAGGAAAAGCCCTATGTTCTGTTTTACAAACAGACATATAAGTCTAGTTTTAATTATTTTATTTAAAAAGGTATGCTTGCTCTGTTGCGCTAAATAATGGAAATAAATCATTAATATAATGGCTCCATATTAACCTCCTAAAAGAAAATTAGAATGAATAATATTTCACAAATTTACAAACTATTTTCCTGCAAAGACAATTAAATTGGCTGGTAACCATTTATATATTCTTAAAGCCTCGTTATTCTAAATAGCTTCGTTATTGTGTAACTGACAAATTTTCTTTTGTAAAAGTTAGTAAGAAACGGAGTACTTACTTGGACGTTTTACATATTTAAAATCTCCGTAAACCAGTGACAACTAATTATTTTGTATTCCATTTTAAGCTAATAATGTTGATGGAAATAGTGTTCATTGTTATTTAAGATTTCTGCTAATTATGAAAGCAGTCAAGATGCCTTGAACAAGATGGAACAAAGCATGAAGTCTAAATCCCAGTTTCTGTTTTCCGTTACAGTTTAAATTGGCTACCTGTATCGTATATAGACAATAAGGCCAAAAAAAAAAAATTGTTGTGTTGCCCTTAAATGGAACAAATCGAGATCATCGGCCGGTCGGTCGGATTTTTGTTTTCTTAGTAATACTTGAAATAGGATAGGCCTCAAACTGCAGTCCCTATTATGAAGGTTAAGACCAGGGCTAAGGGCTCGTGGTTCGTAGCAGGCCCGTAGCCAGGTCATTTCAAGGGGGGGTTCTCTGGGCGTGGGGTCCAGAGGTGGCACCAGGATTTGCCCGACGGGGGAGCCCGAGGTCCCCTCACCGGGGAGGAGGGGGGACCGATGCCCCAACGAGGGGTCAGATTTCCCCGACGAAAGCAAAGTGGGGTTAATCCCAATTCAAATGGAACATTGGAAAGGCAAAACTAATATTAAAGAGGTAAAGATATGCAATGGCTACACGTTAGGGACATTTCTTGCAAATTTATTCAAATGAAGAATGTTATATGCTAGTCTGTTACATCTCTTACTCAACAAGGAAGGAAGACCGAAAAGAAAACAATACTAACAAATGACTAACGAACAAGACTTCACTTTCGGTCCACAGTTATAGCTTATTATTAATAAATAATGACCCAGGGGCGGATCAAGAGAAAACCTGGGTAGGAGCCATTTGAAGCACAAAGCACAGGGGGTGGGTTGTTTTTTTTTTTGTTTTTTTTGTTCAAAGAATGCTTTATTATAGACCTGGCTCTTATACACATCTTCACACCGAAAGATATTAAAAAAAACCTCATCAAATAATCAATATCAATATACTCAACACGTTTATTATTATAAAACAAAAAAAAAAAAGCTATTCTTCTTTTTCCTCCTCTTCTTCTTCTACTACTTCCTCTTGACTCTCATAATAATAGTACTATTTTACTACATGGCTAAAAAATTACGATTGATAGGGCCATCGTTAAATTAAGTCAGAGCCCAAAATATAGCATAATTCGAAATTATTATTTTAAGAATTTATAACATAATACATAGCCTACTGATTAATAATAGCTGAGATGCACATTTCAGAATTAATAATCGTTTTTAGTATATCTTACTGAATATTTATTGTCTACAAAATGAAATATGAATTATATGCATTTTTAGAAATACAATTTCTACAATTATATTATTCTTGTTTTTATGTAGATAAATGTTCGATAAATTCTATCTTTCATAAAAAAAAAAAAAAAAAAAAAAAAAAAACGAGATTCAGCGCGTCTATTTTCATTCTAATCAATGGCGTTTGTAAACGTGCACGGACATCATCGTCGAATCCCAGGACATCCGACGGTAAAGCTGGCCTGCCTGCCTAGGTCCGTCCCAGGCCAACCAATAATAATAATTAACAAAATGTATTTTTTTTTATATAGGCCTATTGCGCATCCTGTACATGCACTCCAACTTTTACAACAAAAGCCAGGCCTAGTACCTGTAGTACGTCCTACTGTACTTAGGCCTAGGCCTACACTAGTTTGTTGTCGTCGGGGTATAATTCTGTACCTTAAATGAACGAGGAGCGAACCTAGCTACTCAACATCTAGGCTAGGCTAATTGATTTTAAAACCAATAACCCACCTTAAAGGCCTATCTGTCGTTTTCTTCATTGCAACAGCGGACAAAAAAAGTCAGTTATTCTACAACGTTTCATGATTCTTTATCACTAAAAAATTAACAAACACTCGTTTTTACGCACTCCGTTCTGTAGTGTGTCTCTGCTGTTGAAAACAAATTTCCTAGCCTAATTTTGTGACTGACTATGATGACTGAGATGGACTATGTTGATTTATTACAAATATTTTGTTTGGGATGAAAATAAGGAGAGTCCATTTCCCCAAAATGCTCCATCAGCACATAGTTTAGTGTGTGCTATGGACAGTATGGCTATGGAATTTACTAACCACACAATCCACAATTAGGTGATTAAGTCGTAAATATCTGCATTTGGTGGATTAAGTCGCAAAACTTTAGCTTCGTTTGGTGGCACCATTTACTCTAGGTAGACGGCGACCGGTTTCGTTACCGGTTGGTGCATTTCTTACAAACATTCAGCCAAAGGCCAGTGAAAGTTGAGACTGCAGCCGGGTTTTTATCGATGTTTGCCATCCTTATGTGTGCCATCGTAAAGTCATGGTTTACTGGAATTGCGTTTTTAAATCTCCGAACTTCTGAAGCTGAGATATTCTATGAATGTAGGCTTGTATCGCAGGCTACAATTTAAAAACTAGTGGGACTCATTCAAAAATTCGAGGGGGTTCGCTAGAAAACAGGGGGTTCGATAGAAAAGGGGGGTTCGCCCGAACCATAACCCCCCCCCCCCCCCCCCCCCGGCTACGGGACTGCGTATGCACCACAATAGAACGATGGCAAGCTTGCCAAACAAAAAATGTTCAAAGTAAAGATGGATTATACTAACCAAGTGTATATTGAAATAAATTTAACAAAATTAAATCAGTTTAAAGAAAGTTTTGTTGGCTTCGAAATGTGAAACAATAAGTGTATCCGATCTACACGATCACGCGCTGGCAGGCCAAGCAAAACCATACTATGGCTATGAAAAATGTCCGATCAAGCGCCCTCTATGTAATACAATCGAATAAAAAAGAAAAATATTTTGTTCATGGTTGGCCTTAAACCGTAAACACAGCCTAAGTCTAGCTATGTACTGGCTTTAAAACGATGGCTAGACCTATGTCTGTTTTTATTTATTGTCCAATATACCGTAAGGTAATGAAAACTATTTTTGATTCAAGCAACCACTAGCTATACAGTGGTAAAGAATAGGCTAGATCTGGTTGTGGCTTGGCAGCTCAGCGCGAGAGATCCGATGTTGTGTGCATATTATCGTCGTCGGTCTCTTTTAGATTTTATGTTCTTAATGTTAATTTTGGCAGTGGTATTTCCCGAATTTGTACAAAATAAAAAAATAAAATAAAAAAAAAAATGCAGCCCCGATTTTTTGGGAAAAAAAATTTTTTTTTTTCTCCCTAATGTAGTGTAGGCAACACAGTTATACTTGGACTAATTGTAATACTTATGCATATTCATCTGCTAATTCTATATCCACGCATTGCTAAAGCGACACCAGTTCCGTACGAAGAACTGTAATCTATTTTTATATTCCAAAAATGCAATGTTGCCCTCTTGAGTTCCAGCATTGTCTTGAAATTTGAAATTTGTGTTTTGATGTTCAACAAAAGCTCAGTTAAGTTTGACGAAGAGTTTAAATACTGTACTTATTTAGTATACAGATATAAAAATAGAATCGTTTAAAAAAAAATTCTAATATGCCGTTGTATTTGGTAGTCCATTAAAGGATATTTTTTAAAGGAAAATTTTGTAAACCACTGTAACTAAAAGTTGTTTCGATTTGTATCCATTTTTTGTCAAGAATAGCAGCTGTTACAGTAGGCCTATTAACTGTAAGAACCCTTAGGCCTGTGATATCATGTTTTGATATTTGCATAGCAACCATCTGTAGGGCCTATATTATTTTTTATTTGATTTTAGAGGGGGTGGGATGAGTGTCCTTTATGCTTATTTGACATGTAAATGACCGTTCATTTAAAGATCATAACATTTTTTATGAGATGATGATGATGATTATGATGCTGATGTTCATGATGATGGTTATGATGGTGATGATAATGATGATGGTAACGATTATGTTTATGATTATGTTAATGATGATGATGATGAGGATGACAAATGATAGATAGGCCTAATGATGCGAAAATTGATAATAATGATAATAATAAGGATGATTATTTTTACGACTTCCATATACATTATTTTGTAGATTATATCTGCATCTACCAGTATCCACTTGGTGTTGAAGATGGAAATATTGGCTCAGACAAACTGACAGCGTCCAGTGAGGCCAATGACATACACGGGCCTCGTCGTGGTAGACTTAACACTGTACCAGATAGTGATGGAATTGGATCTTGGTCTGCGGGTTCCAACGACCAAAATCAATGGATTCAAGCTGACCTGAGTACCGTAAAGGGCGTTACTGGAGTGGTCACACAAGGCAGAAATGATTACAATCAGTGGGTGACATCATATGAAGTGTTCCACAGTTTACATGATACATTCGAAACAGTTATGGATGCAAGTGGTCAAACTGCTGTAAGTTCTTTATTTCTTTTTTCAATCAATATCAGCTTTATCAATCATAACCATTCACGTGTTATTTTATTGTTTGATTTCATCATTAAGGTAACCCTTCCAGCGTATCCTAAAGGGTCGGCTTATAATTAGGAGCCTTCTTAAATATATGAAATAGTAATCGTTCATTCGTTCGATCGGTCGTTCGTTCTTTCGTTCGGTCAAATTCAAATACAGAAGGCATTGATGATGTTAGTTCTATCATACTAAAACACATATGTCTATCCTGTTATAGCAAAAATCTTAATCATTTATTTGTAATTTATCTATTGAAAGTTGTATTTTTCCTAATTCGTGTAAAGTGGCGAGGGTTGCTCCAGTTTTAAAGTCCGGTGGAAACTGCAATGTTAGCATTTACAGATCGATTTTAATGTGCCTGTTAAACAGATTATGTGCCAGACCTAAACTCTGGAACAGCGTTTGTAATGACCTAAAACAAACAAACACTCCATCAAATTAAAAAAATAAATTTAAGAAACATCTTTTTTTTTGTCTTACTCAAAATAACTTTATACAAGACTATCGTTTTATCTCACAATGTTAATATTGTAATTTCATTGTTAGGTGCGCTGTAGTTAAAGTGTAGTTTAAGATTTTAATTAATTTTATATTTTTAACTTCTGAATTTATCAAGAAACACTGCATACCAAGCTATATTATACTATTTTCACTGTCTTGATAAATAATGTTTCATATGTTTTTTGTTGTTTTGTTGAGAAAAAAAAGGCGTAAATAAAATACTCTGAATCCCAATCCTGCGTATAGGCAGTAGGCCATAATTATGTGATCGCTATTTTTAAACTGAATTTGAATGTAATACATATAGGAGTTTACTGGAAACTGGGATAGAGATACACCTGTGACAAACACATTCTATGCTCCAGTGTACGCTCGACTCATCCGTATCCATCCAACAAGTTGGAGTGGACACATTAGTCTGAGGTTTGAACTTTTAGGCTGTCCAGGTGAGATATACCGCCTTTATATTGAGAGAGGGTAGGGTTTGTTAGTGTGGGTGTTTGTGTATGTGGGTGTGGGGTGCGTGTGTGTAGGTATGTGTCGGTGTGTGTGTATGTGTGTGTGCGTGTGTATGTGTGTATGGGGTATGTTCGCCCTGGAGCTACTGGATATCACAACTCCATGGAGCACCTACAGTAAAAGACGAGTGGGGTTTATGTCATTTTATGTTTTTACAAATATTTGTTTGCGGTCAACCCTTCCTCAGTTAGGCCTATTTGCATTTTATCGCATTTGTTTTAATTCAGTTTTTATTTTTATTTAGTGATTAATTGATTCACACTTCTTAGGTTTGAAATACATGGAAACAAAGTTTGTAAGTACTGTATTAAATAAATTCTAATTAAGTTAAGTAATACCATTCTGTAAGTTTCTTTGCATACGAGAATAGCTTTAATTATACAAAATGAACCGTGATGTTCTTTAAGGCTATACAAACCACTATTAAAATATATACTCCATATCTATTAAAAATGCATGGTTTCAGCACATGGACGTCGTGTGCTGATAACATTCTGACGTGTTAAATGAAATTAATTTCATTTATTTTTTTATTACATTTATAGGAGGTGGAGGTTTACTCTCCTTTAACTAATATCACCAAATCGACGCAGCAGAACCACCAAGTCCCTGTTAATTATCTGGAGATTTACGGAACTTTCTTTAGAATGCTAGACTAAACTTCTGTACACAATTGCTGCGATTTGAGCATTAAAGAGAAATCTCATATTAGAGGATTATGATGATGACTATGCAGGTATCTTTACCTATTTGTGAGGTCTCCCCACAAAATGAGTCTCATGGTTAGAAATTCAAAAATTTAATTTATATTATATGTGGGTAGATCACATTATAAGCTTTTATTTGGTTTTGAATGGACCAAGTCCCTGTTAATTATCTGGAGATTTACGGAACTTTCTTTAGAATGCTAGACTAAACTTCTGTACACAATTGCTGCGATTTGAGCATTAAAGAGAAATCTCATATTAGAGGATTATGATGATGACTATGCAGGTATCTTTACCTATTTGTGAGGTCTCCCCACAAAATGAGTCTCATGGTTAGAAATTCAATAATTTAATTTATATTATATGTGGGTAGATCACATTATAAGCTTTTATTTGGTTTTGAATGGCTTCCCTACTATAAGTAAATCCAGAGATGTGAGCATTTAAAGTTTAGGTGTATAAGAACCATGTTTTAAAAAAATCGGCCTCAAAGATAAACTAACCTGTACAAATAATATGACTAGAATTACAGAATATGTGCAGAGAACACTGTTTTGGCAAGAAAATTCACTTACAAAGTATACAATCATAAAATATAAGTATCAAGTTATTTAAAAACATTAAAATCAAAATTTTGTAAAAATGTTGACTTTAACCTGTTTTGGTGAATATCTCAATATGATTTCACCAAGAATGCGTCTCATTTCGTGTTGAGACCTCACATTTTCATTCTCGGCAAGTTCTGTTTTCCAAATATTATTTTTCCTAACATTCTATTGTAGTTGTTCGTCCTGCATGTTTTTGGGTGGTATTTTTTTTCATTTAAGGCGTGTCCTAGTTATATATGTTTACATTCGTTTGTACCAAATGATTTTGCGAATAAAGAATAAAAGAGAAGGGTACTAATAATTAAAATAATAATATTAATAATAATAATAATAATAATGTTAAATTTAGTATTTCATGACAACAGGCCCTCTAAGCACTTCATATTATTATCCTCGCAATATATAACCCCTCCCTCCCCCTCCCAGTTAATGGATACCATTTAAATATTCCATTCGTCATAAAATTTGGTGAAACCTCAAAACCGAATAAAACATTGAATAGGTAGTTTATTATACATTAATTTCATTTATTTTTTTATTACATTTATAGGAGGTGGAGGTTTACTCTCCTTTTACTAATATCACCAAATCGACGCAGAAAAACCACCAAGTCCCTGTTAATTATCTGGAGATTTACGGAACTTTCTTTAGAATGCTAGACTAAACTTCTGTACACAATTGCTGCGATTTGAGCATTAAAGAGAAATCTCTATATTAGAGGATTATGATGATGACAATGCAGGTATCTTTACCTATTTGTCTCGCCACAAAATGAGTCTCATTGGATCAAACACATATCACATACTCAAATCCCTATGGGGAAAATTAAAAAGTGTTGCAACTAGTAATCAGCCCTTTGTGTATTTGAACCTACCAGGTGTCTGCCAAGTCATATGAAGTGTTCCACAGTGTACATGATACATTCGAAACAGTTATGGATGCAAATGGTGAAACTGTAAAAATGTAACATATTCAATCGAAAAAGAGAACTGTAAAAATAAAAGCTATCATCGCTCAACTCGAGCTGAGGGTGGTTTAGCGCTCGGCTTTAGTAAAAAGAAAAAAAAACACCGGCTTGGTCAGTCCGAACTCAAAGTTAATTCCAATAAAATAAAGCTGTAGTTCTCACAATCCCATTTAACAGCCAGGGTCTATTTCAAATTGAGAATATCTACGTTCAGTGTCATTTATTTTCCGACCAATTAAAATAAACTGGTTTCCAATCACAACCATCTTTATGGTCAAGAATTACATTTGTAGCGATTAAAGATATGAAGTTACCAAGTTCATCTGCTATTGTTTTATTTCTATTAAGCTCTATCAGATATATCGAGCACTCTACGTCATAGACTGTCTCTTATACACATCTAGATGTGTATAAGAGACAGCTGTTTTGCAAATATTGAGAGCATGATAAATATAGGATACAACTCAAGAATCATGATGTCAAAGGATTTCCATAAAGATGAC